TGAATAAAATCCCACAGTAACTGGTAGAAAAGTTTATTATTACAGCGCACACCGTTGTAACCTGAAACAGCAAGTTCAGTAAACATTATATGCGCACATGCAATTTGGTTTTTAAACAGATTTTTGAAAACTGTTGAGCTTTACATTCATGAGTAACAACTTGGTATTTTAAGACTTTTTATAAACAAGAAAACCAGAGATTTTTCTGGGTTATACAAGTGAAGTGTATATACAGGGAAAGTAAACGTGATTAATTATAATTAGAAGTGGCGTCGGAAGCCCCTTCTCTTACCTTACGTTATGGAGCATTTTTTAAGACGCTAAAGAAGGGCAAGTGAAGTGTGAGACAAGCAATAAACACCGTTAAAAGGTATCAATCTAATTGACGGCTCTCGGTTGTGCTTCCGATGTTCAGACAGAAAAAAGTTGATCCTATAAATGGCAAGCAAGCGGCCTTCTCGCAAACCACTCCTTAAGGAATTAAGTTACTGGTTTCCTTCAGAGGATGTGAATTGAAGTCTGGGATTTGGGCAAATCCCAGTGCAGTTTAGGGGCTGAGAACGCATCTTCTGTAGCTCTACAGAAGATATGCCAGGTGGTGCAAAACTCCAGCATGTAAAGCTTAAAAGAATGTACCTGCTGGATCTACCAGGCAAATAGAGAAGGTAAAAATGAATAGTTTTAGTTGAAAAATTTATCCTACGCCGCCCTCTGGCAACACAAATATTAAACAACCCAGTTGCCCTGCTGTGAGCAGCATAAAGCTAATTAATTACACGTTGCAAAAAAAGCAGCTGAGTCTGTTTGGCAAGCTCTACAGGCACGGGGTGAAGCCGTCTGCCCTGCCTGCTTTCAATTTGTAACTGCCTCGGGGAAAAAGCGGGAAAGCAGGTTAATTGGGAAGTGCGTTCAGTGCTCTCCTAAACCCCCCAAACCTCCCAAGTCTATTTTGTGTAGGTGTATCCCAAGTAATTAAAACCCATTAGCTGCAACAGGTGCGAGACGCAACGCAGCAGACTTGACGTGCGGCAGCAGCGGACGCGTTGGGTGCACTTCATTGTACGGATCCTGTACTTTTAAAATACAGCAGCGTTTTCACCTGAAAACTCCACTGCTTTCAACTTCCAGGACCACTCCAAACCGTGAACAAAACATGCAAACAAGTCAGTTGTGTGAGAAAGCATTCTAAAACAATTTTATTGCAATGATATAAGAGTGGTTAACATGCAGGCTAAATCCTCAGTGTCTGCCTTCTACATAGGGAAAAAAAAAAGAATAAATTCAGTTCTTGTGCCCATCATTAACCTAGCACAGGTACGGGAAACAGAAAAACGGCATCTGGGCAACGCGTTACTAGCACTCCTTAATTGATGCAAGACATCTGCATCAAAATGAAGGCCAGTTTTAGATGCAGTCCCACAACAAAGAAGTATTTTCGGTATTTTTCAGTTGGTGTTGGTGCCTTGTTCCCCGGACAAAGAAATAATTCAGTCTGTCTCAACAGAGCTTTCTGAGGAATGCTGACGCAGTTTGAACGCCACCACGTGCGAGGGGGGGGGACCAGACGAGGCAAGTGACTTTTGTTTCCTAGACTTTGCAATTTTCTTGACCATCAGAAACCGGGATTGACCTTGTTTCAGAATGTTTTGGGTCACCGAACTGACAGAATTTGGCAGTGACTTTCAATTACACCTCCTCCAAAATAATGACTGTAATTCAGAAAACTTACACCTTCCTTATACAGGAAACGCAGCAAATTGGCATGTGTATAGTGACTTGTGTGTCAAATGTCTTCACAAGACTTCACTTAAAATTCTTACGTACTTACTCAAAAACCTGACCACTACTTCAGACACAGAGAAAGATTATGCCAATATTAAGAAAGAAAAATCACCTCAGTTCAGACAGATGAAATCACAGTGAACAACAAAAATTGGACACTGGATTCAAAACATAACCTAACTTCCATCCCCAAAAGAGCTTAAAAAGAAATGTCACTAAATTGCAGTAATTACTGATAAAGCTTGTTAATGAAAAAGCACAAATGCGTGTGTTAATCTTGAAGGTAAGGCAACATTAATCTACCCCTATGCATTTTGAGACTGCTTGCATTTGTAAGGACAAGCTTCAAACTGACTCCCAGGCTCCCAAATCAGAAAAGGTAAAACATGAATTAAACATCATTGGAACTAACGTGGCTCCGTGCTAGATCCTGCTCACTCGGACGTCTGTGGAAGTTTCATCAGGAGCGCTCTACGTTTACTTTGTAAATGGAAGTTTTTACTTTTATCCTGTTCCTAATTTCAGACTTCAAAACCATGAAGTGTAAGCCATTTCAGAAAGTATTTAAAAAGCGCTGCACACCTTTTACAGCATCAATGTGAAATAACCGCATGGCGATAAGCTGCAGCCTTTGCTGCTCTGTACCACCTGTTTCTCATTCTTCATAAAGCAAAGAAAATCAAAACGTGTGTGTGCAGAGCTATTAGAATGATCCTCTAACTGTAGCAAGGACTAATTATCCTCCTTAATGTCTTTTGATGCTTTTGGGGAATAAGTACATTATGTGGCGCAAAATGCATTTGAAATTACCCACACAATTTTCAAACCTGTTTCTTATCCTTCAGGGCACTTGTAATTATTTGTATTTTTTTGCAGAATACAGCCAAGAAATACAGCCTATCTCATGAGCACTGGGAGAACACACAGGTTAATATTGCACAAGGTGAATTCACCAATACGAGACACTTTAATAGATCCGCAATTCCTGTTTACTATCTTCATGATACGGCAGTGACAATAGAAAAAAAGTATTTAAACCTTAAAAAAAAAAGTCTTGCTTAATTGCAATAGTTCTTGCTATTCAAGCGTTTATTTCCTCATTTGAAAAAAATACTATATGAATCTAATGACTACTTGAACATGCAGTAAGATGCCTAATACGGTAAGCGGCGTGAACTGGTATTTTTGTATAGAAACATTAAAGGCTTTCACCCTTACACAGGTAAGGAAATGCTGTTTCTGGCCGTTTTGGCTTATTTGCAACATTGCCTGGGAATTAGCGCCTACTTCACTGAGGTGCACCGCATCTTGCACACAGACACGCAGTCGAGTCGCGCTTAGGCAGCTGTGTGATGAACTTGCCAATGGAAAGGCTGTTCATTGCTCAAATCCCTTTTTCTTTGTCAAAAGAGCCCACACAGATCACTTAAATGAGAAACACATGGCATTATTTTTTTTTTTTATCATCTGTACAGTGTCTTACAATACAAATCTTAAATATCCATTCTACAAAAGAACAAAGACAACTTTCAAAAGTGACTACAATGGCTATACTACACGATACCACCTATAATTTCCTCTGGAATTAGAAAAGACACTGCAAAATGACTGTGTAATTCAGTAACATTGTTGAGGCAACTCAGGCACTACAGTTAGTATCTGACAAGGTTTTAGATGCTGTTGCTTGTTTTCCGTATTTTAAACAATTGGATCTCCAGGTATAACCCCATCTGCATTATTAGTACTAAAATAATTTCTTGAAGTTTACACAAAATGGATGAATAAAGCACCGGGTCCTGCACTTGGGGCACAACACCCCCATGCAACACTTGGGGAAGAGGGGCTGGAAAGCTGCCCGGCCGAAAAGGACCTGGGGGTGTTGGTCGACAGCGGCTGAACATGAGCCAGCAGTGTGCCCAGGTGGCCAAGAAGGCCAACAGCATCCTGGCTTGTATCAGGAATGGTGTGGCCAGCGGGAGCAGGTCAGGGATCGACCCCCTGTACTCGGTGCTGGTGAGGCTGCACCTCAAATACTGTGCCCAGTTTTGGGCCCCTCACTACGAGAAGGACACTGAGGGGCTGGAGCGTGTCCAGAGAAGGGCAACGGAGCTGGGGAAGGGTCTGGAGCACAGGGCTGGTGGGGAGCGGCTGAGGGAGCTGGGGGTGTTTGGTCTGGAGAAGAGGAGGCTGAGGGGAGACCTCATCACTCTCTACGACTGCCTGACAGGAGGGGGCAGTGAGGTGGGTGTTGGGCTCTTCTACCAAGTAACAAGCGATAGGACGAGAGGAAATGGCCTCAAGTTGCGTCAGGGGAGGTTTAGACTGGACATTAGGAAAAAATTCTTTACTCAAAGAGCGGTCAAGCATTGGAACAGGCTACCCAGAGAGGTGGGGGAGTCCCCATCCCTGGAGCTGTTCGAAACACGGGCAGAGGTGGCACTTTGGGACATGGTTTAGTGGGCATGGGGGTGTTGGGGTGATGGTTAGACTGATATCTTAGAGGTTCTTTCCAACCTTAATGATTTGTCGTTTTGCCCATTAAAAAATAATCCAGCCACCAAGCCAGGAAACATGAAATTAGTTATTACTCTCCTCTTACTTGGTTTAGTGTGGACTTGGTAGTGTAGGTTAATGGTTGGGCTGGATGATCTTAAAGGTCTTTTCCAACCTAAACGATTTGATGATTCTATGAATTGCCAAGACAGTTTAAACTACGTGAAAATCATTCATAGAATCACAGAACGCTTTGGGTGGGAAGGGACCTTCAGAGCCCACCCAGCCCAGCCCCTGCAGTGCCAGGGACAGCTTTAACCAGCCCAGGGTGCTCAGAGCCCCGTCCAACCTGGCCTGGGATGGTTCCAGGGATGGGGCCTCCACCGCCTCTCTAGGCAACCTGTGCCAGTGCCTCACCACCCTTGTAAAAAATTTCTTTCTTATATCCAGTCTAAATCTCCCCTCCTTTAGTTTAAAACCTTTAGTTTAAAAATCATGTCTAATTGCTTCAGTTTCCTATGCTTCCAACCCTGTAATAATACACTCCGTGCTCTCCATGTTCACATTTTCATCTTGTGTTCAAATTTGCGTTATGTACGACGAATGCTGCAAGCACCAATCAAACGTTTGAAATCACATCTACATTTCTTGAAGCAGAGATGGTTGCGCTATTTTATAAAAAGCTGTGGAAATTCCCTTTACAGAACATTTAAGGCAGTTGAAATTCATGCTTGCTGCTTTGCCAGTGCTTCAGCTTCCTGAAACAGCAGAACAGAATTACACATATTAGTACTTTATGAAAGGCGACAACTTACACATGCCTGTGTTAGGCACCAACATATGACATAAAAAAATTGCAGCCATACACGATTAAGAATTGAGCAGCACTGAACCCAACTCAAGAAAAGAGTCCCCACTGCCTACGATAACATTATAAAACAAGTCCCATAGGGTGGTGGCTTTAACTCCAATTCTAAGCTAGCTCAAGTAGGACCTGCAGGAATATTCCAACCTGTGGCAAAGACCAGTTTTGACCACAGAAGTTTAAAACAAAGGAAGAGCAGATATAATGAGTTATCCCTGATTTCATGTTAGGACACAAGAACTATTTAGAGATCTAAGATTATTTGAAGAACTATGGTTAAATGGAAAAGGAATTCTTAATTAATGAAAGTCTCCACATCAAAAAAAAAAAAAAAGGAAAAAAAAAAAAGAGGTCTCAGCAGAGATGTAATTCACTTTCTGAACTAAACCCCACCAAATGACCAACAGCCAGCATTTAGCTTTTGCCTTCCAGAAGGGTGATCAGAGCAGCCTGCGAGTCCTTCGTCAGACACAGCTCGGAGCCGCTCCAGCAGCAGACCCACCCGTGAGCTCCATCCCGGGGCCGGCAGCAGGTCCATCCTGGCAGCGGCACTGCCCCGTAAGCCCAGCTCCCCGCTGCGGGGGGAACCGCACCAGTGGGGACGTGCTCCTGCCTACCACCTGCTCTCCGTGCCCAGGGCTCCCCACCCACGCCTCTTCGAGGGACCTGGCACGGATCGGGTGCCCTTTGGCAACAGGAAAACATCCCCATGAAGCTGCTGAGATGAAGGAACAGCTGAAGCAGTTTAGCAGACGTACCAGCTAACCTCAAACAATTCTCAGCGTGTTTCAGAAGGAACATTAAAAAACAACAGCCTGCATTTTTCAGTCATCTTTCAGCCTCCGTAAAGTGGTCACAAATGGGAACAGAATCATAGAATCATAGAATGCTTTGGGTTGGAAGGGACCTTCAGAGCCCACCCAGCCCAACCCCTGCAGTGACAGGGACAGCTTTAACCAGAGCAGGGTGCTCACAGCCCCGT